GAGATAGCAACAGTGATTTTTTGAGGATAGCAGATACAGGTCAGTAACCAACTTACTCAAAATTTATGAGACTGAAGTCAAGTATCATCATCATTAATAAACTTAATGGAGAGGAAAAAGTAAATACGTAGATGAAATTTGATGATAATTCAAAATAAGCAGGGGGCATCAGTTAAGAGGAAGAATAACAAATCATACAAGAAGAACTTGCTCAACATGAGAGTATTTAAAAATACAACCATAGGAAGTACAAAGTTACATCCTTAAAAAACTAAAAGCAAGCTTTAAAATAGAATTGCGAATTCACAAGCTGGGAAATAAAAGCCCTGAGTTGACTTCTTGATCGTAGTGTAACAACGAATGGTCAACATGAAACTGCACTGAAAATAGCAAACATGAGCCTAGAACGCATCCTTTAGTGATAACATCATCCTACCTAACATCATCAGAGTCACTGAGAAGGACATCCTGTGTAATTGCACATGCAGTATCATCCACATGGAAAAAGAAGATTAACTCACAACAAGCACAGAAAGTAGGACTATGAAGGATAATCGCTGGAATGCAGAGGCTTTCATACAAAAGCAGACTAAAACCTTAGTTTACACAGTTTCCAAAAACCAAGGCTAACAGAGGACAGATCACCAACTGTAAAAACATCACGAGGGTGAACATCAGCAAAAGAAAAAAAAACCTCTTTAAGCTGAAGAACAATGACATCCATGAACAAATAGGCATAAATTCACTATGCATAGCTTCAGCCTGGAATTCATAAGATTCTTAGCTCTTTGTGGTTCAAAAAGACTTAAAAACAGCAGTAGGGTGATTTGTTGGTTGTTTTTCTTTTTGATCTCCCCTTGTTAATTGTGAGACTATATTTAATAACTTTTCCATATTCTTATCAAAATTGTGCTTGTGACAGCAGAGGACTGGACTCAGTTTCAAAAAATCCTCCTATCCAACAGACAATGAAAGCAAGCTCTCTCACAACCCCAGTCTAGGAGACACACACCTACATTAAAAACTGAAAATCAGCAAGTTCCCAAGACTATTAGCTCAGTTCCAGCAAGGACAAGAGGTCATCTTCAACAAAAGCAAGTCATGTGTTTTTATAAATAGTACAACTACTTCCAATATACATCAACATACAGGCAAAAAAACCCAAGCAATATATAAAGCTCTACTTGCTAGGCCTGCGTAGTCCTTCCTCACAGAAATCCAAAAGTCCTATGGCTCGCAAGAAATTCTATTTCAACAGCAAGCACAGACTTCAAGCTAAGTCGTACTAGGGGAAAACCACAAATATCCTCAAACGTGCGCAGAGCAAGCCAGACCCAAACAATGACAATCCTTGTCATGCCTCCAGCTCAACTGAGCAATTCAAAGTTTTGCTTTGTACCCTTTGTGGTCAGCAAACGAAGAAGTCATTATCTACGGATCCTTCACCATACACTGGAGGAAATTCTGTACTAATTGGTCTCACAAATTATTTTAAACAACTAATATCTAACATTTCAAACAATCCACAAACCTGTCAGACAACACGATCTGCAGAGAAATCAAGTCCAATGCTGGAGGTTCATGTTTACTCTGCTCTTAAGTAATAAAACAACTCTTCTGATTTTGTGTCCTGTAAGATTTAAATGCACTGTATATTTTGAAGTAATTTTGTAAAAAATGAAATTTAGGTTTTAAACATGTACACCACAACCGTGCAGTGACTTTTAAGAGCTACTACTGCAACAATTCCTGTTAAGTATTACAAAGTATTACAAAGAGGACATAAATCAGACCACAAACTGGGAATCAACAGAAGATGAAACATAGTGTGATTCTTACCACCCTACTCCTCAGCTTTGTGAGAAAAAAATGACAGTTCCACACTGTAAGTGGGCACTCCTCAGGGAAAAATCAAGAGGAGTAAGCTACAGATCAAAACATCAAGAGTCTGGCTGTATGAAAATGTAGAATTCTGACAAGGGTCAAATTTATGTTCCTAGAACCACACAGTCCAGAATGCTTGATGGCAATTAACGGAGCAATTCACAGAGCTAATATTTTAGGTAACCATTAGAATCACTGAGGAATCACTGCTCACTGTCATTATTAGAAAGATGTTTCTGCAATGAAAAGGTCTAAAACTCTAGGTGGAATTGATGTTTTGTTTATTTTGGTTTTTAAACTGAAGAGGAAAAAATAAAAAAAGGGCAGCCTAAAAAAGTCCTTGAAAATCAACTTTATGTTGAGGTTAAGAATGCAAAGTGACTTCACTGTATTTAAATAACTATTTCATCTGGAGATGTCTCATAAACCAATAAAACAAAAGTTTTAATAATGTGTATCTTAATGTGAAAGAATATTACCCATAATTACAAACTACTTAACACAGGGCAGTTAACATTCCGTATCAGGACCTGGAACAACCTGATTACCAGCCTGGCAGTCCCATAATGCTTACCTTTGCCTTCAGGCAGTTTCCTTGAAACAACAAAACCTGCTTATGGAATAAAATAATGCAATTTTCATGTGACAAGATACTTGCCCAGTTTCTCCTCTTATGCATTTCACATACTTGTAAGTAAAGAATTTATTAGTAACCAGGAAAGACCTAGAAAAATGCTGATCTGTGTTCAATGATTATGATTGGATAAATAAATTTGTTCCTTCAGGAAAAACTGAAACTTTCATTTCAGTAAGTGCTTATAGAAGGTGCAAGAAAATTTGAGGAAAAGTATTCACATTCTCCAAGCTAAAGTGACAAAATTTAAAAGAATAAATAACTACTTAAAAAAAAAAAAAAACACTAATATATTTCATAAGTGCTAGACATATTTTATTTTTCACCAAAGCACTACCTAGAAGTTCATGTAAATACAAGGATAAGCCATTCAAGAAATCAAGATCTAAGGATAAAGATATTACAGTAAGTCCTAACACAGACTTCACAGAACAATTTTCAACAAACACTACTTATTTATATTTTAACGTATTACATGTAAACTTGAAAGATCTGTGCTCAAAATATAAGTTATACTCCAATAAACAAGGCAATTTTCAGCAAATAAATACATCATGATTTCATCGCATCACCTTAAAACAAAAGGTAAAGAAAAAAGGCAAAAGGCCAAAGTACAAAGGAAAGGCAGTTTCTTTGCCTCCTTGCAATGTCAGACAATCAAAATTAAAACATATGAAGAAAGAAAAAAAAAACAACCAAACAACCAAAAAACTCCGACCAATCCTATCAGTTCACTCGGTTCATTATTAGACTGTTGCAGTAAAGAATAAAAAGCTTTGAAATAATCTTTTTAAATACAGACAATTACCTTTTTCATAGATATTCTTGGTTTCATTCGATTGCCCTGAGCCCTGGCGTACATATCCATGATTCTACCAATGGTAGTATTCGATGAGTCAGCTCAGAAATACCTGAGAAAAACATTTATACTTGATTATTTTAGGTTTCTCCATTTAGTTTGTATACATTTTGAAAAAGCAAGCAGACAAAACAAGAATTAATAAAACCAATTAAAAAGCATGCTAAAACTGAGAACGATTAAACAGCACTTGATCTATACTGATTGCTGCTTTTGAAAAAGTACTGCCTTAACGATTTTTAAAACAAAATGTAAAACACACCTTACAGTTAGTTGCAACATTTTTCTTTAACTAGATTTAAAGGCTGCATTGGAGGAGGGGGAGTGGAACATTACATTAAATACTGTTTAACTATCACTGATACTCTGGTCAAGATTATCAGCAGATTCCAGTACCATACAATGCACTGGAACTACCCTTTAACAATCTTGAGAGGAAAATGTACTACTAACCCACTCAACCAACTGGCCTATTTACTTCTGCCACCTGTAAGTACTACAAACACACAGGTGACTCCTGCTTAGGCTAACATGTATCAACAACCTTGTTCCCTGGCACTGCTCTGGGCAGTTCTGTCTCTGCTGGCAAAACACAGAGGACCCGAGATGCATTTACCAGCACTCTTACTTCACCAAAGTAGGACAGAAGAGCTTCTCCTCGAGTCAGCTACCCTTATTGATCTTAAGTCTAATTCTAACAACAAGAACAAAAAAAAATATGGCAATGAAAGAAAAAAAAGTTTTTCCAGTTTCCCTGTTTAATCAGCTGCAATGAAAAGAAAGAGAATAATCTAGTTTGTTTCATTCATCTGTATATCCCCTAAAACAATCGATAAATATCAGGTATTAATAAAGACAGAAAGTACGTGCTGGGCTTTTAAGTTCTACAGCAGTTTTAACACTTCATCTTTTTCCCATGATCACACAATTTAGCCAGGAAAAAGAACTCCTAGACTATCCAAAATAAACCAGGTAAGGAGCAAATCCATGTAAAAATGAGTGCAAAATAAAAAATAAACATCAAGACATCAGAGTACGAGTCTCCTTTCCGCAACTGACCAGCTTGGTTTTCTCATCTCAAGCACGTATTTAACCTTTATATGGGTTTGTTCTTGGGTATATGTAATTTCAATAAGACGACGAGTAGTGGCATCAAGTAATCATATTCTTCACCTCCCCTCCCAGCACCTATAAAAGTAAAACCTCCTCAAGAATACGATAGCAAGAGATTACTAGGTACATCTATTCACAGTCCACCTTGATTTCTGCTTTCCTTCATAAAGATGAACTTGCTAGAGTCTTAGGAAAAAAGTTACACTTATGTAAATAAACTGCAACATTTTAATCTCTAGAGCACAGCATCTCTCTTATCAGGATGTCTGAAGTTTGGAAAATTAAGACAATGACATGAAGCAGCTAGATGCATGTTAAACAGATTATATATAATCACATATAAATATAAGAAATACAAATAAAAAACTGAAATCATAGCAAACTTCTGTGGATGGAAGATTAAAAAACAACACAATGCTTCTGTTGAGACTCAAGTGTTTAAAAAAAAAGCACCACGAAACAATATCAAGCAAGAAAAAGAAACCCATCTCACTTTTCCCTACTGCTTTATCTTAAACGGATGATCCACTCTGTTAATCTGATCATATCAGGGAAATACCCTTAGACACATCCTTGTCCTAAGAAGAGCCATCTATGGGAAAAGCTGGTTTCTCACACAGGGGCAAGTCAACTACTTCAGCTCTACATTTTTGGACTGATGGCTCCTTGCAGTGAGAGCCTGGAACAGCAGAATCATGGAGATGACTTCACAACCACGGTGGGTCCCGCAGGATACTCAGGTACAGTACTCTACAGTTACACTGCCTCCACGTAGCAGTTTAAGTATCTTCCTGCAACATCAGCTAGGAAACTCTGGAGACTGGAGCATCAACACAGAGCCATCCGCAGTGTCACCTACCTCATGAAAACAACAGTCTTGTAAATAAAACACAGCACAAAGACCCTGAAAGACGCTGGACAGAAATTGCACTGGTTTATCAACACAAGACCATAACCATTTTGTCTTGCCTGCATCCTGTCCTTCAGTACTTGAATTATACAAGTTCTCTCCACCACCCACAACATCTCAGCTCTCCATCATCCATTTCGGAAAAATCCAAATGGTCCTACTTATTCAACAATGCAACAAAACCTGAAAGTGTTCTTTTAATATATAAAATGATTATCCATTTTCAAAAGAACAATGGCCCAATCAGCTGAGAAGTACCAAAACTTTAAAACTAACTGGAAAGGAAGTGAAAGCACTGACAAACAAAACAGCCTAGAAATAGCTCGTTTCTTGTGTTAATAAAATAATTTAAAATTATTTTTATTTCAGCATATTGTATTTGACTATTAAATTTCATTTCCTCCTACTGTAAACTCAAAAAAAAAGGGGGAATAAATGGCAGACACATCAGATCTAAGAGGAAGAGGACTTTCCTGTTACTGCATAACTATCAGTAGACATCAAAAAAAAACCCCAACTGATCATGTGAATAACTGATAAATACCCACACTAAGTTTAACCACCTCTACCTTTCTAGCAAGTTCGATCACCTTAAATCCCTTTTTAGAGTGATTTGTTGAGGAACATCTTTGTCATCAGACCATGTAATAAGCATTTAGTTAGCTTTTCCAAACTCGTTTGAATGTATGTAAGGAGCAAAATTAAACAGTGAAATCAGCTTAAGGGAATCCAACTGCAATTTTGCCACGGATTTCATTTCTTTGAATAAATTTATCCTACCCTTAAATTTACTACAAGTCAGTGTGCCAATATTGACGATCATTAGCTGACAGAAAGGAAGAAAATTTAACTTTTGCCTGTAAAGTGCAAATATGCTGAGTAAATCTCAAATAGCTGTATGAGCATATGCGTATACATGCGCAGCTATGTTACAGGCGTACAAGGACATGAGGAATTCCAATCATACAGTCAATAAATTTGAACTATATGTAATATGTTCTTAATAAACTATATTTCCAATAAAAGACTCTAGCTGAAGACAACAGTGTATCTATGAGTATGTTTCAAAAAAATTTTTTGCTATAGTACTGTTAAAAAAAGATGTCTTTCTTTTAAAGCAAAAGTATATTTTTTATCTTCAACACAAGGATCTGAAGCAGTCAAAAAGAACTTTGCTGATGCTTTGCAAAAGCCAGGTTTAATGGAATACTGAACTGTGAAAGATCCATTCCAAATACCAAATTAAATAATACTTTAAAAACAATATGCACTCTTTTGTAACTTTAGCAAAACAATTGCTATTGAAAATCAAACGAAACAAGCCTACACTGATAAGCAGGCAGAATAGTCTAATGGATCCTTTCCTATTTCTCATTTCTAATGATTTACCACTTTCACTAATTGGGTTGGCGGTCTTGAAAAAATCTATTTTATAAAATAACAAGTTGTCTTTACCACAGCCACACTAAGAAAAGAGGGCGGCAGTGAGGGGAATACATCTCTGTTGGTCAGCATTAATGACAATTATGAAAGGCTGAGTTTTCTTTTTCTTCTCTGGTTCTGTTTCACATAGTATTTTTGTTACATAGAGGCATGACATGAATACCAAGCTTCACCAATTTCAAAAGAATTCTTGATTTTCTCTGCCTAGATCTTTACTAAAAATCATTGCCCCCACATTCCCCCTAGTCCTGGGTCTGGATTCTAGTTGTACCAGTGTCCTGGTTTTAGCTGGGACAGAGTTCGCTCTTTCTTTTTAGCAGCTAGAAGAGCTCCGTGTTTTGGTTTTACTCAGAGGCTCGCTCTGAAAAGAACATTGATAGCAAGCTGATGTTTGCAGTTGGCACCGAGGTCTAAAGGACTTTTCAGCTTGCCGTGTTCTTGCCAGTGTGCAGGAGCACAACAGGATAAGGGGGGGAGCATAGCTGGGACAAGGGGTCCACAACTCTACCTATGATTTGTACTTGAACTTAAGACTGAGGGCCAAACTGGCTAATTAGCATGCCATATCATGCAGCGTCATGCCCAGTATAAAAGTGAGGGTCAGCCGGAAAGAAGGGCTTTTGCCCTTCCGGGACTCTCACTTTGTGACTCTCAGAGTGCTTTTTCTTTCTCTCTCTCGGGGCCTCCCATTCATCCGGGATTGTGGTATCGGGTTTTATCTGTTTCGGGATTGCAGCTTCGGGATGAGACGGGCCTCAGTCAAGGGGTGGTGAGCAATTACACCGTACATCACTCGTTTGTATATGTTTATCCTTCTACATATCCGTACATATATATATTGGTAGCGGTAGTAGTAAATTGTTCTTATCTCAACCCTCGGGTCTCTTTTCTTTTTCTTCTTTGATTCTCTCCCTCATCCCTGGGGGTGGGGGAGTGAGCGACTGTGTAGGGTTTGGTTGCCAGAGCGCCCAACCCATGACAACCAGAAATATCCATTAGTCTAGATTTTGTGGTTTGTGCAATTAACTTTATTTTTCTCTAGTTTCTTTTTGGTGTGTATTTCATACATAATATAACTAAACCAATTAAGGAGGGAGGGTATTTTCTAAGCAGTAGCATTTTCTCACACAATCTAATTTCCCCTTAGAGAGAACTTCACCAGATAATACCTTGTTTAGGAGCTACATTCCCCCCCAGATTATGTTATACCAAATGATTAAAAGAAAGGAGTAATCTAATTGATTTTATTATTTTTCCACACAAAGTAAAACTTTCCACCATTATACTTCTTCAGCTGCCAACAGATTTTAAAGAACCCCTGAAGCATGAGAAATTACAAGGCATCGACCAAGATGGTGTAATTCAATTATTATGCCTCAAAACATCATCTTGCTTGCAGATCAAAAAACTCACCTGGACAAATGGGACCAACATTATCTATTTAATAATATTTAATTAAATAATACTTAATTTCTCAAGAATTAATTAAGTATTGGCAGTATCTATCGCTAAAGGCTAACTGCACAATTCTGAAATAATCTTG